AAATCTTTTTGTCATACACAGGTAGGGAACATTACCCCAAGGTTTCAGCTTTCTAGCTTTTCTCGTCCCCGAGTTATCAGTTTTCGCGCCAAAACTTTCACGTGCTCATACGCGGGGGCCAGACGTGCGTGAGAGTTGATACTCGGGTCCTGGGATGGTACTTGGCTGGGAAACACACTGGCAAAATTTCAACCTCTGAGAGCGCGTGGTTGGCGAGTTGAAACACCCGGACAGACGAACACAACACACACACACACACACACAAACATACACACACACACTGACAGGGTCGTTGCAATATGCGTTTTTGCTGCCCGTTGCAGCGCTCCAGCGCTGCACGGCAAAAACGCATAAAAACCCGATGGGAAGAGCGTTTTGCTCACCTTGTCGACGCAGGTGAACGTCATGTACTAGCGAGTGGTACCCATAAAAAAACAAGTGACTACTCGAGCAGCTTCCGAAAAGTCTGCGCAAATGCATCGAACAGGTGTTGAGTACTGTTTGGAAAAATGCAGTTCAGGAGCGAAGGGCCTAGTACAGTTACGTTCGGTGTGTGTAAAAAAAACCCTTGTAATATCACTAACGTGGGATTTCCATGTCGTTTTTTCGGGGCTGGTAGCTCGGGCTTTTTACTATAATTAAATTTGTAAGATGAACACATATTTAAGGCCAGATTTGTTGTTACTGCAACTCTTTCCCTCAGTCCGCTCTTCTTTCTAATTCTGACGTACTAGTTTGGATACAGTGCCTGTGTTGCTCTATTTTTGGAAAATGGCGTGGGAAACTATTGAAGAATTAGTGAAAGTGAGCAATAAATATGCTCGCAGAATAGACGCTAAAGTTTTTAATACGAACACTTCACATTTTCTATTCGAATGGGCTAAAATCCTGTTATCTCGTTCAAGTGACGCGGGAGATGGAAATAGAAATGCAGCTTATTTGCTGACGCCAGAGTAAGATGCTTACTTATGTAAATCATCGTCGCAAAAACCGCTTTCAAGGAAAAAAAAAAACGAAAATATCCCGATTTCGGGCGATTGTGCTGCGGACAGGCTTAGCAGTTAGGGCTGTGTGTGACGTAAGTTCGCGACTCATTTACGTCATCCAGAACAAGATCGAACGCTTCATTGCTCAGCTTCTCATCCATCTGGCTTTTTTTCTTGCCTCCTAGGCTGCTGGATTTGCATAGATGTCCATGTAGACACAGAGGCAGGCAGCTACAGACGACATGATGTATCTTTAGAAGGTAATGATGCTGCCTAGGCGTCCAAGCTAGAACTGTCTCCTTCAGCCCATTCGTGCCAATCTAACTGCTTTCAGTGTCGCAGATCGTACCACCGTAATTTGCAGTGCTTTCATGCGATGACCTCGAAAACTCCGATTTCTTGACAAATTATTGTCTAAACAACAAAACAACTGGTGGTGCAAAATCTAAGGTTATATATATTGCATATGCGCATGCAGATGCTCGTGCAAAGCGCATTGGATACAAATTATTACTAATCCCGACACATGTGTTCGGCCATTACCAGCAAGCAGCAGGAAACTTCGGCACCAACAGTTCCACCAAAACCACCGAAGGGGCTCGTTAGAATTGGTTTTTACGAAGTCGAGTCAACAATTGGCAAAGGCAATCACACCCTCGTTAAGCTCGCTCGTCATCGGATCACCAAAACTGAGGTATATCCATTTCGTTGTTTTTTCATACTTTTGATATGCATCAACAGCAGCAGCAGACCAGGTGTTATCAGCTAAATGGAAAAACTTCCGCTGTAAATTTCATTTCGGTGCTCCTACCTACGCGCAATCATTTTGCAATAGCTGGCGTTGAAATAAGCAGAAAAAATTCGCATAAAATTTTTTGCTTTCTATTACAACAACATGGGTTATTACTTGCTCTGTGTAATAAGATTCATCTGGCAGGTGGCAATCAAAATTGTGGATAAAACGCGACTGGATGACGAAAACCTAGCAAAAGTGTATCGAGAAATTGAAGTGTTGAAGAGGCTCAGCCATCCTCATATAATCCGCTTGTATCAGGTCTGTCTGTACTGCTTCCCATCCTGTAAAATATGCATGACTAATATTCAGCGTCGGGTAATTTTACAAAAC